TTTCACCCTGAAACTGGGAACTAGAAGTTGTACTGGCTGCCTAAGGTTCAAGCCAGGAGCTTGTGTTTCCAATACTCAGAAAAATATATTGTAGCACACCACATGCAGAAAATAGAAGACAAATTCCTTAACTGCCCAAGGAGCTGGGGTGCAGGACCTTACAGATTTTCTCCTGCTGGCTTTTGAAACAAGGTCGTGAGAAAAAAGGACCTTGGAAAAATAACAACTGACTTCAGACAGAGGTGTTTTGCGAGAGGTTGGGATGGATCAGCCCTCTCTGGTTGCTCAGACATTAGTGAGTTCAGGATATGTGTCAGTGCTGTTTGCATTGAATCTTTCTTGTTATTGTGCTGTGGATGAAGATCAAGTCGTTAGCAAAGGGTTATTTGATATTTGTCTAAGCAGTGCTTAAAGGTGAAGCTCGGGCAATCTGATACTGTGCTTGATCCTCAAATATTCTGGTCAGGTCTTCACCTTCTGTGGGTCACAACCTGTTGCACTATTGTGCAGAAACAGGCAGCAACCTCCTCTGCTCCTCTGGATGAAGTTCTCCTGGGTGGACTCAAAGATCAAGACCCTCATGCTTATCCATGTGTGGCTGCATTTTACTACTGCTTGCACAAAGGGGTTGGAAATAAAATATTCCTCTTCCCTCTCCAACTGATAGGATTTAATCTTATTAAAAGTTACTTAATTCTAGCATAAACACCTTTATCTGAGCTGGTAATCTTACACATCTTTTAGAGTCAATGAAGAGAAACAGGCACTTCTAGGTGCAGCTCTTCTGACCCACAGAGGACATCTACTTTGGGATAAACCCCTGCTGTGGTCTAGCAGTGCCTGCTTCCCTCCAACAGCTCAGAAGAGACCCCAAGATATTTGGCTCATGTGGAGATATCTCTGTTGCAGATAGATAATTTTCAGGGTGATGAATCCTACCTGAGTTGTAGATTCCCAGAAAAAGCCATCCCTCATTCAGCTCATTGGGATTATATCCTCCTGGCTTCTCTGTCCTTGGGACTCAGCCCTAAAGGCTCCAGCACTCAAGAGAGGTTTCATAAACAGGCATCAATGTTTCCATAAAAAAGAAACATGTTCCCAGAGCTGAGGATTTAGGTAAGGCATGGAAGGATAGCTTGGTTAGGTGTTTCCATTTGTAGGACATAATTGGCAAAAGAGCTAAAACTTGACTCTCATCTCCCTTGGGAAAATCTGTTAAATTTGTGCTAAGCTCTCAGGGAAAACTGACTGTCTCTAGGGACAGCTAAATAGGATTTCCATTTGGAAATGTGACCATGGCTTTGAGAGATGAGAGTTTCTGAAAGCAACACCCATGGAAGATCAAAAGGCACTGAGACAGGAGCTGAATTAACTGAAGGCAAGATCTTCACAGCAGTTTTGTTATGCTCTTCCCTTTGATGAATGAGGGGGAAGATCAGAGGAATAATGGAATAATTCTCACAGGATTCATCTTGTCTAATAGATTCTGGATACAGCCATGATAGATATATAGTTTGTGCTCCTCAATCAACGAAGTCATTCATCTCATACTGAGAGAAATGTCTAAGATATTCCAAGAGTTCTCTGGATGTGCCTGGCTATACAGACTACAAAAGATGCCTGTCTCAGACCAGGCACTTAGGGACACTTAAAATTAAATTAGTTAACTTCACCCTTTGCAATAAGTCAAGCTGAAGTGATACAAGAAGGGAATAAATACAATCAGAACCAGGCCCAATATTTGTGTTCCTTTTTTTGCACCAGAAGACACTTACCTTTCACTTGGTCTCCATTACAGTCTGTTCTTTATTGTAGATGAAACTGAACTGCTTCTTTCTCTAATGGCCTACATGTTCACTGCAGGTGTAGAGCTCATGGGTTACCCTCGGAAGAAATTGCAGAGTTCAAAAGGAGGAAAGCTGAAAAACTCCTTGGCAAAAGAGCCTAGATCTGAGGTAGTAGCTGTAGGACAATCCCAATGTAGCTCTGCTATTTAGTGGCTTCTTATGTGTTATTTGTCTGCACTTTGCTGGTTTTAGTGTCATGCTGCTTTTTTTTTTTTTTTTTTTTTGGTCAAAAATATGTATTATTCTTTTAAAGTGTCTTATTCAAAAGGTGCTTGGAACAGCAGCAAAGATGTATAAAGGTAGTAGTAGCCTTACTGGATGATTTCCTAGCAAATTTATGACCTGTTATCGCATTCATTCCTGAAAGACATACAGCATTACTGTGTTTACCCGCAGTGTATTATCAGTCCACTGGATGTCGATGTGCTCTGTGCCAGGAAGAGCCCAGTCCATGGTAAACACAGAGGTAAAGCTAGAGTTCAAGCCTAGAAGGGTCCAAATTGCCTACTTTTGCTTTCCTGTAAAGTATATCTTCTACCTAGTGCAATTCCATATCTCATGACATGAAGCAGGATGCAACTTTGTTATTCATCATTATGGTATATACTGGTATGAGAAATAAATACAGATTTAGGATGATTTGGCTGGAATTCAGAAGTTACATGGAGTATGACAGCATGACCTGAGGTGCCTGATCAAATAGGTGCTACCAGGGCAAGGCTGGCATATAAGTATGCACACCCACACATGCAATAGAGGAACTGATGTCCTGTGAAAATGCTGTATGGTTGGTTTTTAAAGTAATTTCTCTGACAGTAGCAATAATGTTTCTGCTCTGTGCCTCTGAACTAGCTTTTACTTAATTTCCACTTTCTTAGAAAAAAACCACTCATTTTTATTTTTTCCCCATCACATCTTTCTTCTCCTCCCCTTTTCTTCTACTCTGTGTCAGCTACTACTTCTTTCTTGGTATACAAGGACGTTTCCCATCAACACATTGGAAGGCATATCTTCTTCATCCAACACCAGAAAGGCCTAAAAATAAAATAAAAAAAATAATATTTTCCTTGTTTCCTTAGTGGTTGCAAAACTTTTAGGTTCATATTTGACAAGGACATCAGCTCTTCCTCATGAAATTCAATTAATTAATTTTCAGGGTGGATCCTCCAGTGAATCTTAAATTGCATTGGGTTGATCTATTTGGGTGATTTCTTAAGATTCAGCAATTTGCCTTTAGATCTCTTTCCTGGTTTTTGTGCTTGGTTGTCCTTGTCTGCCCTTGGTCTCCCACTGAATGTGAGAGTGAAGGGAATGTGATGTGTGCTGAGTTTGGAAGCCCTGGCTCTTCTCTTGTTGCATCCAGATTTAATAGCCTGTCCTCAGGCACAGGTAACCAGACTGTCAAACACCATCTGCAGAATCTTAGGTCAATTAATAAAATAAAATTCCCTTGAATGATAACAAAAATCATTAGATATTTAGTGTTACAGTACAGGGTGTCACAGCAGCCAACCCTGCATACCTAGTTCTGATGCCAGTGCTATTAGTTGACTTTGCTATAGTCTTACATCTACTTTAAAGTATATTTATATACTTTCTAGATATCTAGTAGATACTTTAAAGACAGATCATCCTGTGCTGTCATTAAGGGCAGTTTCATTAGCTTAACAATTCCATATTATTAATTAGTCATTAGTATGAATAGTCCTTGGGCCTAATAATATTAATTCCTGTCCTTTCAAGACCTCACATCTTACACTCTTGGAGTAGAAACACAGAATTATAGAATCACATAATGGTTTGGGTTGAAAGGGACCTTTAAAAGTCATCTAGTTCCAACCCCCCTGCAATGAGCAGGGACAACTTCAAGCAAATCAGGTTGCTCAAAGCCCTATCCAATCTGACCTTGAATGTTTCCAGAGATGGGGCGTCTACCACCTTTCTGGACAACTTGTGCCACTGTTTCATCACCCTCATCATAAAAAATTTCTTCCTTATATATAGTCTGAGTCTACCCTCTTTTAGTTTAAGACCATTATCCTTTGTCTTATAGCTACAGGATCTTGACTTCCTGTAGTCAGTTTTATATATATTTCTGTTCTAAGGTAATTACTTGTTCATTGTACACAGCAATGGCATGTACAATTTAAAACCATATATCTATGTGCATACACAACAATTTCCCAACTATTTATTTTTAATTTCAATACAGTCACCATGGCGTTATTAGTATGGGTTAACATTTTGTTCTTTTTGGTTTTCAACAGCTGGAATGATACTTTCTTCTCTTATACACAGTAAATTCGATTTCATACGATACTTTATGTAGGACAGGACAGCTGCAGAGTTGAGACCTACCTAAAGCCGTACCATTTAGTCAGCTTCTGGCCTTCTACAAGTCATTGATGTTTGTTTTGTCTCTGAAATGCCCACTGTTATAACAAATCTGTGCCCACCAACAGATGGTAGAACCTGGACATCATGGACACTTGGAGCATCATAACAAATGATCCTCTTCAGCTCTGTCACAAGAGTCTGGATCTAGATGTAGTCTCTCAGCCAACTCTTAAGTCCTGGTACTCAGCAGAGCTTATTCCGTCAGGAACAGTACCAAGCTAAGGCAGCAAAACCAAACCTGGATCTGAAATGGATGTCAGGGTTTTCTGGTTCTCTGCCCATCCTGGCTGGGCTTGGTGAGATCATGGGGCTGTCAGAGCATCTGGACCTTCATATTTCTCATCGGTGGCAGTGAATCATCTCAAACCCAGAGAAGCTCAGCTGATTAACAGGAGTATCCTTTATTACCAGCTAAGGGCTTTATGAGACTTGTGATGCACAGTTTGGAATGTTTTTCAGGAGCAGCTGAAGCCCTTTGGTTGTTTTATGTAAATGTAATTTACATTTGTAAAGTGGATATGTTTGGATTTAAGCTCTATGTATCTCATTAACCCATGCAACAGCTCCAGCAGTTGCATGGTCTACTGGGACGACCACATCCCTACAGTTCTCTACCAACAACCCTCCTTGCCTGATGATTTTTGATGGCTTTGAGAAAGTCTAATGTTTCTGGTTTGTCTGACACAAAATGATGCAAAACTAAAGGCTATTCCTTAGTGAGCCAGGTTGCTAACTCCTCTCTTCTCTGTTTTACAGCCACAACTCTCCAGATGTACTGACCAAGAAAATCAAATCTGTCCTGAAGGACACAAAGAGGACACTGACAAAAGCAACCTTTAAAGAGCTGGCGAACATGAAGGAGGATGGAATAAGTATTGAAGAGGATGAAATCTGAGAAGAACACAGTAAAGAACTAGTAAGATCGGGATGGACACCTTGAAGCCAACCCAGCAGAGGAGCTCACACCTTCCATTTAATTCCCTTCCAGCCCAAAGCAATATAATTGAGGAAGCCTCTTAGATCTTGCAGAGGGTGAACTTGAGCAGGCACTTTAATCCTGACCATCATTTCTTGTGAAATTGGGCACCAGCTCAGAGCTGTATGTGTGTTTTTGACAGGGGTCCACAGGGGAGAAAAGTAATGGTGATAATGATGGTAACACCAGCTTTGCATCAGCATCTGTCACAAGGATGAGCCCAAAGGATATTTTAGGTAGGTCTGCATGGCAGCACAAACATGTCCAGCTGCACCTGGGCCTGGATTTTATCAATAATGCCAAGTGCTAAAGTGGTTTAACTGTTTTGCGTTAAATATAATTGTTGTTGTTGTAGGAAACTCAGGTTTCATGAAAATTAGTGCGATTCAGAATAAAATGTTTTTGACAGCAACAAAAAATATTTTTTACTCCCCACAAGAGGAAATTTTGAATCAAATTGTTTTGTTCCTCAATGTACGTCAATTTAAGCTGAAACATTTTATTTTAAATTGACATTTCAGCTGAAAATGCCATTTTAATGATATTTTCAAACTGAAATGACAGTTTTGAAATGAAACAGTTTGGTATGAATCAATATTTGTTTCTAAATGCCAAAATGTGATTCTGCTCAAAATGTCAAAATATGTCATCTTCACAATTCCAGATCTAAACTGGAAGAACATTTTGTTTCACTTTATACACACACATATATAGCATATCTAAAACATTTTATGATTTTCATCCCAAAGCAGGATGAAAACAGAATGCCAAGATATTGTAGAATGGAGATGCAGAGAATGACATCCTGCAGTTCCTTTAGCTGAGTAATAATAATAAGATATAAATTTTTTTTCCTGCAAAAGTGGGGCAGTACATCACTTCAGCAGTGCAAAGCCTAAAACACATCACTCTTTTTCCTTCTCAATCTCCAAGTGGCCTCAAAGGCAGCTGTCTTCAAAGTAAACCTCCCAGTGAGTAAAAATACCTTTCTGCAAAGGACTAGCATTTGGCCTGTAGGCATTTCTCTTGGAGCACACTTCATCTAGGCCAAATAATTTTGTTGCTGGCCACTACTTCCTCCAGGTTTTTTACTCTTGTTCAACATCTGGCTTCTAACACACTTCTGGGAATTGTTGTTTTTGCTTCTGCAGGGCTGAAAAGAACTGCAGATATGGTAATTTAATCAATATTACCACCGGAAGGTGCTCACTGAAAACATGGAGACCTTTCTCAAGCTAAGTTTGAACTCTTCTCATCAGAGCAACCAGATCAGGTTTTTATCATTCAGATGATAAATAAGTCAACAACCACTTGACAAACCTTCTCTGGTCATTACAAATATCTTTATGAAACGAGGAAATCCAGACTCCACAAAGCTAAGGAAGATAGTATTTTCACAACAAATTCACTGTAGCAAGTATAAAACACATCTTCTGTCAAAGTAAGAGTTGTTTGGAGTATAAACATCTGAAAAGTGAAAATGGAAGGGAAATTTGTTAATGATCTTTAATAATGAGATTTTACTCTGTGGCACCTGGTTTTGTGAAAGAAGCTTTTACCTATTTAGTGGTGAGAGTTGATATTCCAGGTGGGAGAAGTTGGCCCTGGAAAGATATCTGTCAAAAGGCTCATACGACACTTGAGCTGTCAAAGAGGGCTTAGGAACGCTTTCACCTTCTGCACTGTGCTCACTGTCTGTTTGCAAATTCATTTAAGAATAAAGTCCTATAGAAGAAACATGGGCCAGGCAATTCTGACACAATATACCTCAGTATACAGTTCCAGGGAGGGACATTGTCTGGATTGGTCTGTGCAAATGTGAGTTTAAAATCAAACAATTTCTGCATAATTCATTATTTTCCCATTATTTTCCCATGTTAAAAACACTGATCAGTGCTGTTCTGTTGCATACTCGTGTGGTTTCAACCAACCTGGCCTTACGTCTTGGCTAAAGGGAATTGCAAGTTGTGGCAGGCAGAAAGCACATCCTCCCTATGGAGGACAGAAAAGCTCTTCCTCTGCTCTCGGTGTCATATTTCCATGCAAGTGAGAGTTACATCAATGGATTTTGCTTGAAAAGGCCTATGTGGAATCAAGGCTGGCCTCCAAATGAAGAGAAATACCTACAACGATGTGCAAAAGGAGAATCATCTGGCTAAATCTAGCCCTATAAGTTGCAGTCTGAGACAGTCACCCAGACTGGTCCCCTAACAGTCAGAGAAGGGAAACAGGCACTTCCCAGGAGTGTTTCTTAATCTCCTACATGTAGAAACTTCTGTGTGTGCCGGGTGTCTCAGCTCCCACTACAGTTAATGGAGATCAAGTCAAAAAGTCCAAGGAACCTAATGACTCAGCTGTGCCTAAAATGGGTGCCTACATCTGGCTAGCAGTCACCCCTAAACTTCACTGACTACTGGCAAGGTCTCCATTCAAACAACGGGAGCCTGGTGCATGCAGAGATACACAAATGGAGATACCTGTGATACAATTCAGCTGCTGAAACACAGGTGCTTAATGCCATTTAAGATGCCATAGAGTACCTACAACATCCAGTCAAAGCTGCTAAAGAAGATACAGGATCAGACCCTTTTGCAATGGCAGCTGGAGGCCAGGCAGCAGACCCTAAAATCTGAAATAATACCAGACAGGTATGTTTTATGAGATATGCCTTTAAAGTTGGGTGTCTTAAACCCAAAGTGAATCCCATCCCAGATTACCTGCATTCAGATGGATGAACCATGCCCTAAAAGTGTTCGCCGTCGACTAACAGGAGCTGCACTGATCAGCTCAGGTGGAGAAACCTACTTCACAGGTGAATAAAGTCAAGTTGGATGAGCTTCACTCCCACACAGATATCACCATTGGTTCAGAGGAGGTGCTGGACTCCCCGACCTTTTCCCTCAGTCTGGAAACTCTGCTATTTGGCTTGCCTAGATGTGCTAACCCTCTCTGAAACACTTGTTTTTCCCAGCACACAAGCAAAATGGATATAAAGGAAGATACATATGAACAGAAAACACAATCTGTGAAGCGAATTACCCCCTGAAAACCTTCCCATCAATCCATTTAGCTGGTAATCTGGCAGTGAACAGGAGGGACAGAGACCTTCTATTTCTGCTATATATCAAATTAAACATATGTAAATGCATGCATACAAAAAAAAAAAAACAACCCCAAAACAAAAAAACAACCCAACAAACAACACACCTCTTCAATCTACCACTATGCATATATTCTCCTTCCCAAAATCTACACATAGGTTCAGATACATATAAATTTCAATTTTGGGGTACCTGTTTTTTTATTTCATGCTTACCCACTAAGAAATAATCTTTTGAGTGTGTGTTTTTGTTAGTCCAAGAAAAGATAATTTTAAGAAAATGCTGGGTAGCCAAAAATTGAATTTTCCAGCTGAAGATGATTTAAACAAGAGGATTTTAATCTGCCCTTCTGCACAGTTTTTGGATTCTTTCTTCAGCCTGTAGTCTTCTAAAATAAACAACATTCTTTGAATTTATTAAAAAAAATAAAATAGTAAATCTGTGGGAAAGGGTAGCAGAGAAGCAAAGTTCTAATCACTGATGACTTTAGTAATCCCAGGATAATTCTTAATTCTCTTTGAAGCCAGTGGTATTTTTTGCCTCTTAACTTCAACAGGAAGAGGCCAAGGACTCATCCCTGAGTGTGATAACCTCTACTGTTAGAAAGCCATAAAATATATTTATATTTTCCTGGCATTGTTCTGTTTAGACAGGTTTAGGTTTACTCATGAGATTTCTTCCCATACTAACTGTGATTATTGTATCAGGATCTTTTCTTGTTATTTTGCTCCTAAAGCTAGTGTTTGGATGTTGTAATGAAGAAGATGGGGGCTGGAAGCAGCAAATGTAAATTTTGTAGCTCCACATCAGACTTCTCAGGTGACTGCGGACAAGTCACTTGGTGGATTTCTTGGATAGTGAAGCACACACTCTAGAAACCACTATCAACAAGAACCTACCATGTGATTGCTGGAGGTTTAACAACTAACGTTATAGGGAGATTTTTAATGTAATCGTGCAAACCCGCTGAGAGCTGTAGAAGATATATTTATGCACAATATACACTGTCTGAATATAGTTCATATTTCATACAGTATTTTTAACAGTGAATTAAAACCAAATGCCAATAAATATCCTTGGAGACCTATCCCTCCACCTGAAAGTCTTGTTCTTGTTTGTATATTTACCTTCAGCTTACCTCTCAGCTTACTTTTCAGTTCTCTGTGCCGATAAGGCACCTCTGGAGATCCCTGTTCACATATTCACTCAATTATTTAATAATTTAGAGGCAGGCCTCAAAATATGCAAGCCAGCAACAGGACAGTCAGGCAGAGGAGGTATGAGGAGATGCAGAAGAACCCAAGGAAGTTATGGAGCAGCCACAATGTGGATGGGTGTCCAGACAGTTGAAAGGACATGTGGCTGGGAGAGTTTCCTGTGACAGGGGATACTAAAGCTGGGAGGAGGTAATATGACTCTTCACAGCACATTTTTCATTGGAAAATATCAAGATGCTTCTCTGGGGTTTGGGACTGCAGCCAGGTGACGACAGGAGTAGGGCTGAGGGTAAGTCTTCTGCACCATTACCTTTCTTTGGACTCATGAAACTATGTTGTCTCTGTCCTGACATCCTCATGCAAAAACATCAGCACTTCCACCTTCCCTGATGCTCTGGTTATTTACCTTGGCAGCGTAGAGACATGTCCTTCAGTGGTGAGGTCAGGGACATCTCCAGGGTCACTGAAGCAGGACCTCTCCCTTCCCTGACACCTTCCATCCTTACACCAGTAATGGATTTGTCCCTTTGCCAAAAGCACAGAAGACATCAGGGCAACCTGCTTCCTTCTATCCATTTGACAACATGGCCTGGCAAGGTCCTATGCACAGGCAGACCCTCACTCCCCTTCTCCCATCCACAGTCATCAGGGGGATGCAAGTCCATGGGCATCACTGGTGGAGGTGGGCTAAGGATTTCCTACCGCTGTAGCCACACATCCTTGCATTCCCCTTCGGTCGTTCCAGAAAGTCCTACTGTGGCACTCATCACTGACCCCATTTGTGTTAAAAATAGTTGTTTGAATAAGCGGAGGAACTACAGCTCTTTGTGCTCAAACTGAAGCTGTGTGAAATGGTGGCCTTAGATAAAGATCTTGCAGACAAAACTCAGCCTGATGAAGAGCTATAAGTCACCTTGTGGGGACAGCGCTGCCGGATATAGAGAGCTTGGTGTAAAGGGAGGTTGGTTTAGCACAGAGAGTGGGACCAGACCTTCCAAAATGAACTGACAGCCATTGCATTCAGGATAATTTTCAGACCCTGTGTCATTATAATCCTCCCCTCCAACCTCCTGCAGCTGGTGGGTGAGCAGCAGCATGCAGTGCTCCAGGTCCAGAAACTGCTGAAACAGGCAAGCAGGTGAAGCTTTTCAGTATTTTTCCTACACCAGGATACTCCCCCAATTTTCTTGCAATGACCATGGGAGACCTGATGAAGCCAGCCCCATGTTCTGTGCAATGTAAAAAGCACATAACACTTTTCCTCTGATGCTCATTACTTTACAGCTGTTGGTATTAAATGTCATTCACTATCTTTTTCCTCACTCACTCGAGTTTCTCACAGTCCTCCCCAAGACTGACTTCATGATATCTGCATATGTCAGTAGCCCCTGGTTCTCTTTCTTTCCCTGCCTAACATCTTCGAGCACTTCTAAATTCTGCTAAACAGCACAGGACCCAGCAGGGGACTGTGAGGACCACCCACAAATGTAGTTGCACAATGAATCCTGATCATGCAATTCTCCTCTTTGTTTCCTGCCTCCACACCAGTCTCAATCCATGACATTTGCCCTTCACTTTGTCATTATTTGGTGTAATATAGTCTCCTTTCCTGCACAAGACATGTTTAGAATCTTCTGAAAGTCAATAAAAATTGTATCAGCTAGTTCTCTTTTACTGACTGCTTTCATTGACACATTAAAAATATTTTATTTAAAGGAATTAAATCCCTCTTTTGTGATTATCTCTTCTCAACTTGGGGCTGTCTAGGAGCCAAACTAGATAGTATGGACTGCAAGCATATTTAAAAAAACTGTACAAAAACTCTGAAAATAAATATGTTCATTTTCGCAAAGCTAGATGTCTGAAACATTTTTCATTAACATATGCAGAGAAGCTCAGGGAAAGTAGATATAGGGCCAAGGACCAATGCTGAAATATGTTATATCTACATAGGCTTGATGTCCAAATGAAAACCACAATATGATGCATTAAACTACAGTTGGTCTTGAACAGAAGGCATTTATTAGTGTTGAAGCTTTTCTGTTATTGCTGTTAGAATTTGCCAAGATGCAAATGTTTTGCAGTTTTCAAATGGAAAATGGTCTTATTTTCTAACAGTTTGTTTGCCAGACACCTCAGCTGCCCGTCTGCTGGGCTATCTCAGTCACTGATTCCAGCCTCTTGCTGCAAAGAAACCCTTGAGGCAGATGTTTCAGATCCAACCTCCACATCCAATTTCCTTCTTTATTTATTTTTTTGTTCAAAAGCTGGAACTGAAATAGCATTTCAAAATATTGAAATCCTGCAGGAAACCAACTGACCTTTCGCCATGCTAGTCAGAAAACCATGGGCAGGAAGAGAAGGCAGCAAACAATCTCCACACAGTTGAAGCTCCAGTCTTGAGGTCTTTGCTCATCAGTAGCAGTTCACTGTCCGAACGCTGCATAGCACAGAATAATATCTGATGGCAGATGTACTGCAATTAACTGCTTTAATAATCATATCTTCCTGAATATTTCTTCTGCTGTAGTACCAGAGGGCTTTTAACCATGGATTGAGAGTCTAGTGTTGTAGAAATTGCTTACACTCCTCTGCATGTGAGCTCTCCTCTGTTACGTTATTGCCTTAAAGAAAAAAATGCTGAAAATTGTTAATCTGAACACTTCTGATTTTAAAGGAAGTTCAGGCTTGGCTCTGAACATGCATTTTGTGACTCAGAGCTGTTTGCCATAAGAAAGGATCACAGGAGCAGAGCATTACTTGCCAATCCCTGTTTTGAGCTGTCTGTGAAAATTTGGCACCATGTCCTGAGAACACTGTGTGGAAATAAAGCTTTTGTTTAACCTACTTGTGTGGGCTCCCTGCAGAGGTGATTGTCTGCCCAGCCAAATCTGTAGCTCTAGCTCCCCAAACACCATCATCACATAGAAAGCACTGGAGGGAATAATCACAGGTTGTTATCCAAATAAGGTGCCAACATTTATTCATGGTGAGATGTCATTGAGGTTGCTCTGGTTGACTGCACCTGTCAGGACTGCAACAGAGTCAAGACAAGAGGGAAATATCCCCCAATACTGATGGTGGGTCCAAGCCTCAGGTCCAGTCTGCAGGGTGATCCAGTGAGCGCTGTTTCTCACACTATGGAGAGGAGGGCTCAGCCTGAAAACCTTCTCCTCTCTACCTCTGCTGCTGTAGATTTGTCCTGGGAGCTGAGCGCTGGGAAGGGTGCAGGCTGTCCAACACTGGGGTGTGTGGAGAGGGACAGAAGACACAAGAAAAATAACCTCCTGACCAGGTGTAGTTAGAAGGCAAAAAGGTCTTCATTTAGGTGGGAGGAACCTGCCTTGGTTGTACATTCAGGCACTGCTGTCCATATGTGCCCAGCCAGCAGAAGATGGGCAGGTGGGAAGGGACTGAGTGAAGAATCTCCCTGGATGGGGAGTCCTCTGGCTGTGTTGGGACAGCAGTTTTCACATCCTGAGAGGCGTCCAGCAAATCATTTCCCATATCTGGAACAACAGGAGGCCCTGAGCATTGACAGCAACCAACATTGCATGGTCCTTCCATGGACTTAAAAAATGAAATGCACAAATAGATGCTCCTCAGAAAGCAATGGAGATACCAGCATGATTAAATGACATGTCCGACACCCTTCCCTGGCAGTGGAGACAGCTTATGAACTGCCTTCCCCTCCCAAACACCCAAACTACATGATGGGAATATTCCTGGCCCCAGACGTGCCCCAAGATTGTTTGGGGTGATGCTTGTTGGTCTAGGGACCACAAGTGGTAGTAATTTAGCAGTTGAATCCAGCACCCAGGAACTGGTCACTGGTTCAGATGGATTTACCATGAGACAGAAAGGCAGACAAGTACTGTCACAGTCACTGGACAATGTGACTTAAATAGTGGGCTTGGACACTATGGATATCACCTCCATTTTTCCTAAGGCTGCATCAGTCCAGGGACATGGTGTGCTTATCACTGTGCATGGCTTTGAAACACAATCCAAGGAAAATATGAAACCAGGATAATCATCTATAGAAGTGTTTGCAGATCTCAAGGTCTAAAGGCTGTCTTCCCAAAGGGGAAAGACTGTGGATTCACTTGGAAATGCTGAGTGGTGAATGAAGGTGTTGAGACGAGAAGTTTCTCTGGGTCACTTCCCTCTAGACGTTGACAAACCCCATCAACAGGAATACAGCCAACAAGGTCACCTTTGTTGTCCTTCCTACTGTAACAGGTTATCCAAAGAGAAAAGGGTGGGAACAGGAATTCCTAAACAGGAATGTTTAGGCAACACCTCTTATATTTATTTAAGTCCTGAGAGCTGCAGTGATAACATACAGGATAACACACTGATCCTCACTGCCTCAGGTCAAGGTGATGGACATGTTTGTAGGAGGTGTGGAGGGCTTCACGACAAATCCCTCTGCACTTCACAGTTTTGAGGGGGAATGAGTGGAAATATGATGCTGAACCCTTACTGAATTTATAATAAACCCCACCGAGGGGCTGAAGGAATAGATGACCTCCAAGCTTTCAGCCCAGGACCACCTCTGTCTCTGTGCCCTCCTGCTAACCCAGACTGGCATTGTGTAGGGAAAAGCACATCCATTCTGCGGCAGTTATTTTTATGCTGTCCTGTATTTGCTAAAAGAACTGGAAAAACATTTTGCTCTTGATTTTGTACAGCTCACCCAGATTCAACGGAGTTTATTTATAGAGAGGAAAAGGACACATGAAGAGCTCACCGGTCTCTCCAAGCTGGAACAAATATTTAACTATACTCCTATTATTTCCATGCTGAATTATTTTAACTGAACTAAATTTTGACAGAATCACAGTGAGGTGGAAAAACTTCAGCACTGAAAAAAACACCTACA